GATTGTTCATGTTATGTGCAAAAAATGTGTGCGATAGTATGAGTGCGTGTGTGTTCCAATGATTTATGCTAGCCTCATTCTATGTCATTGCTTCATTGAAATGATTGTATCCTATTTATTTAATATTGTACAGAAATATTTTACTTTCATAAAGCACATTACAGTTTTTTCTTCTAAAATGCTATTGTTATTAATTAATAAATCAAAGGCTTAAAATGCAATACTTGATGTAAAAAAGTAGTTCATTCAAAAATAAGTGTATATTAAATGAAATCATGCTTAAGAGAATGACAATTTCCTCTGTCTGCTTTTTATGCCTTCAGTGTGTGGCTTTGGAACATTTAAGAGTAGGGAAATTAAGATTTCAGTTAAAACCGTAGTCCCTTGGTTTAACTCAAAGTTTCAATTTGAAGTCTCTACTCCAAGATGATCTTTTTAAATTAAGATGATCTTTATTGTGTGTGCATATGTGTAGAAGTGTGAACACTTGTAACCACGGTGTGCTTGAAGGTCAGTGAACAATATTTGGTAGCAGGGTTTCTCATCATGTAATCTAATAATCAAATTCAGCTCCTCAGCCTTGTACGGTAAGAGCTGATTCATCTATACACCCTAAGATATGTTTGGTAAAAGCTGTCTTTATGTCTATAGGAATTGGCAAAGATACTGTGGAATGAGCCTTCAGATTTAAAGATGGCATGCAGCATTGAACATGTACACAAATACACATAAAGAGCAAGGGAGAGATGGGAGGGAGGAAGGCAGGGAGGAATAAATAGGCAGACAGACAGAGAAAGTAAGCCAGAAAAAATACAGATTTCAACACAAATTATTTTGGATCAGATAGATAAACATCAGACCACATAAGACACACACACACTTACTAGAACAAATGCCCTCATGTGTATGCACAGTTTGAACCCATTCATATTTAGTTGTAATAAGCAGTTCCCTACAAATAAGCAGATACCCAACACAAGCAGCTTAGTTTATAATAAGGTTCCCAGTATAGTTTTTCAATCCTTTAAAACATGTTTATTTTTTCCCATAAAGAATATGATTTTCAGTTACAAACGATACCCTCATTCACTACTGGAGAGACTATAAAGTGATGTGGCTACTATGGCAATCAGTGGATAGGCTCCGCAAATCATTAAAAATAGAACTACCAAATGATCCATGTATACCTCTTCTGAGCACATACGAAAAGTACTCCGTACCACACTTCAGAGATACTTGTGTTACCATGTTTATTACCACAAAAGAAAAGAAAATCCAAAATAATTTAAATGCCCATTAAAGGATGGGTGGAAAATGAAAGCATGTACACAATGAAATTTTATTGTTATAAAGACAATGAAATTCTGAAATTTTCAGGGTACACGATACTGTAAAATAGTGCATGAAGTGTGAAAATCTGGGCTCAAAAATACAAATGCCAAATTTACTCTCATATGTGTGCCCGCGGTTCTAATTGATATGGGGGGGTTGGTGGAGGGTGGATGCTGGTAGAAGCTATACCAATAGAAAGTAGCTCATTAAGTTATGTGGAAAAATACTTTAAAAATATGGCGAGACAAGATATAATTTTGCATATGAAATTTTAAGATAATAGACAGGGCAGTAGGATACATCAGGGCGGGGAGCAAGGCAAGAAAATGCTGAAGAAGAATGGGGGAGAAGTAAATACACAACGGTAAGGATGACTCAAATTGCCATAAAAGGGGGTTGGAGAGGAGACTCATTGGTGAAGAACTCTGGCTAATGTTCCAGAGAGCCAGAGTTCAGTTTCCAGCATCCATGACCAGCATTTCAAAACTATTTGCATCCCTTGATAAAGGAGATTGAATTCCCTTTTCTGATTCCTGAGAGCACCTACAAAACCATAACATAAAGGTACACACACACACACACAAATAAATGAAAACAAATAAACAAAATCTTAGTAAATGCAATAAATTTAATAAACAAATAAATCTCACTTTTTCCCTAGAAAATTTTCTATCACAAATATAAGGTGAAATTATCTTTTTAAGGGAGAAATCCTCTCGGTCTGCCTTTCCACACATGTCTCACCAGGTTATGTGGCTTAACAGTAACTTTGGGTGACTTTTAGGATTGGATTCCAGAATTCCTTTGGCTCCATTGGCTGAGTCCCCCACTGAGTCCCCCATTGGCAGCACATCTCAAAGCCACCCTTCCCTGAATCATTCCCCTTATGTACTACTATCTTCTTGGTGATACAATGCAATTTCAAAATAAAATAATCTTTGAAACCAGAGAGGCTGCTTGAATAATATACCATGTGGGAAAAATTATTTTAAATTATTAAAGCTCAACCTGTCACTACAAACGAGAAGTATTGTAATGATCAGTGCACTGAAATGTATAAACCATGAAACTCATTGAAATCTCTCAGTACTTATATTGCTGTATGAGAAATTTGGTGAGTTTGTATTTCTGTCTGAGTGGCTTGAACAACAAAGCCTTTTTACTGAACCTGCAGTACTGACTATGAATTGGCATATACATAATTCATCAAGTTGGTACATGCTTCAGAACCACCAGCAGTGTATCTTAGGGAAGAACTTGTTTTCTATGTTTATTTTAGAAATCTTCACAGGCAATTGTGAAAGACAGCTCTAGTTGGGAACGTCTCTTCTTGCACTGATTTTTTACAAAATGTAGCTCTGTCTTTACTAATCTAAGGAGCTCACAGTAGTTGAGATAGCAGGAACAAGACTGGTGCTAGCTCAAGCCAAACCAAATATCAACATGGAGGACAGAGAACAGGGAGAGGGAGTGCCAAGTCCCCATTCTAGCTAAGGTATTATCCGCAGTTGTAAAGCTTCTCTGAGAAGGGAAGTTGTTTTTTAAGGGTGTGGCCCATGGTGGGTTGACCATACTCCAGGGGAAGGTCACACAACTTAAAGTATATGGGCAACACCAAGATTTTTTAAAAATGTGAGAGGACACTAAGTTGCTGGGTAGGGAATGAGTCACACTGAACCTGGGAAGAATGGAGGTATAGATGGCAAATATGATCAAGACACGCTGTGTAAAAGTCTCAAAAACTAATATAAAGGGGGAAAGGGCAAAGTATATACATAATTTGTAAATAAAGTTCTCCCTATGTGACACTGTTAGGTCAGTCCTTTGTGACACCAGAATAGTCTGATGACTGTAACATAACACATATCAATGCACCATGGTTTCTGAGTGATTTGAACTGTCTTGTGTTTATCTCTACAAATCAAAGAAAGACTAATGTGTCACAGTTTTGTCATGTTGATTTTAGAGATTTTCCCAATTACATATTCTGGCTAGATATTCTTCATAGGTGAACTCCACTTCTCCCAGGTGTGCATGCCCAACAATGACAAACATACGATTCATTTCTTCATCAGATTTTCTGCTGACCATATTTGGTTAGGAATAAATAACAAGACAGAAGATGTAGTATCTGCTTACTCCTTCTAGATTTGTTCCTACCATTAAGTAACTAAGTCTTTTTGGAATGCAGGTGTTCTCCACATAGAGAAGAAATGGAAAAGTCTATGAACATATGTGTTCACATAAGGTTATTAATGCTAATAAATGCTGACAAGTTCCATCCATTGACCTGCAAATTTCATGGCATTTTTTACAGGTGAGTAGTACTCCATCATGTAATTATGCCACATTTTCTTTATCCATTCTTTGGTTTATCCATCTAGGTTGTTTCCAGATTCTGGCTATTATGAATAATTCTGCTATGAACATAGTTGAGCAATTGTCCTTGTGGTATACAATTGAGCATCCTTTGGGTATATGCCCAAGAGTGGTAATGCTGGGACCAGGATCTATCTGTAATGCATGAGCTGGCTTTTGAAGCCCATTCCATATAGTGGGATGCCTTGCTCAACTGTGATGGAGGGGGTGCTTGGTCCTGCCTCAACTGAATATTCCAGGGTTTGTTGACTCCCCAGGGGAGGCCTTATCCTTTCTGCTTAGTAGATTCAGGTGATTTGTGGGGAGGTGAGGAGAGAGAGAAGGGGAAATGTGGTTGCTATGAAAATGAATAAAACATAATCAAAAATAACATTAAATGTCAGTGCTGTACATTGAAATGGGGAAACTAGAGGATATCGATTGATTTTTGGAGTTCATGGAAACAGTATAGAAGAAAAGGAATGGAAACATAAGCATTGAATTCATGGAATTTCCTAAATAAATGAAAATTATCTTATAGATTAGAGATCAGCTGCATTATTCTAAGCAAAAATAAAAAACAAAAAACCCAACATGATTGAAATTACTTGCCAAAGTTGTGCATCTAGGCAATAGCAAAATTAATGCAGACTCTATGACCACAGTCAATATGATGTTTTTATGACACTTAACTGCCAAAAAAAATTTAATGAGTCTATGAGAGTGAGCAACTTCTATGGTAAAATTAAATTTTTAGTACTATGTATTTCCTTGCTAATGTTTCACACTCCCTTTAAAAACAATAAATTCTTATCAGCCATAACCCATCATCATTTATTCTCTTAGAATTCTCATAATTTGGGGAAAACACTTATGTTGTTATTAAATTTCAAATTCTGTAACAAGACATAATGACCAAAAAACAGTCTTTTAAATACAAATAGTATAAGCACCCTCCTTTATTCTTTGAAAGGATAAGCAGTTCAGAGGGTGACTTTTATTTTAGCAACTCTTTGCAGTAAAATTATCAAATGCTCCTGTATAAAAGCAGGTGATAGTGTAGCATTGTGGCATAAATCAATTATCCTCGAGGTAACACTATCCAGAACCTATACCCCTAATGAACAGGCTAAACTCCAGGAACCACCCTCCACTCCCCACCCCCAGCCTGCCACTGATGTTCATTAAGGAGTTCATCACTGTAGGGGAAGCTGTAGCCACGCCTACTTAGGGGCAGGCTACAGGTGTGCCTGACCACGCTTGCGTGGTCAGGGTGAGGTAGTGTGACTGCATTTTCTCTTTCGGTTTCACTTTGGTACTTGCTGGACAGACTGCTGCCACGCCGGCTGGCTAGGTTGCTCTGTAAGTAAGGCTTTTCCCTATTAAATAACCTTATATTTCTACCTGACTCCGTATTGGTAATTTCCCACTAGACATCACTAATGATTTTTTATTTAGAAACTATCTAATTTGTATATTAATCCAAGTTCCCTCTCCTTCCCATCCTCCCATGCCCTCTACCAATACATGCCCTGCCCCCCTGCATCCCACTCCCCATCCACTACCCAGGGAGGGTGAGGACTTCCATGGGGGACCATCAAAGTCTGTCATATCATTTGGGGGAGGGCTTAGGCCCTCCCCTGTGTATCTAGGCTGACAGAGTAGCCCTCCAAATGCTTTTTAAATGTCTCGGTATAGCAAACTCTAGAGCATTACTGTTCAAAAAGTAGGCAGGTGCCCATCTGGTTGGATCATTAAGAATTCAGATACAAGATAAAAGATACCATAATAGAGGGAGCCATTATAGGTTTAAAGAGAAATCTGGCACTATTGAAATTTCCAGAGATCTACAAGGATGACACCAACTAACAATCAATCTAAGCAACAGTGGAGAGGCTACCTTAAATGTCTTTCCCTGATAATGAGATTGATGTCTTCCTTATACACCATCCTAGAGCCTTCATCTAGTAGCTAATGGAAATAGAAGCAGACACCCACAGCTAAACACTGAGCTGAAATCCTAGAATCCAGTTGCAGAGAAGGAGGAGTGATGAGCAAAGGAGTCAAGACCAGGCTGGTGAAACCCACGGAAACAGCTGATTTGAACAGGGGGGAGCTCATGGACCCCAGACTGATAGCTGGGAAACCAGCATAGGACTGATCCAGATCCCTGAATGTGAGTATCAGTAAGGAGGCTTCAGCAATCTATGTGGCCTCTGGTAGTAGTTCGGTATTTATCTCTAGCATAGGAATGGACTTTGGGAGTACATTCCACATAAAGGAATTCCACTCTCTCAGCCTAGACACACGGGTGCGGAGGGAGGGGGGGATCTAGGCCCTGCTCCAAAGGAAATGACAGGCTTTGAAGATCCTCATGGAAGGTCTCACTCTCCCAGGATAGCAGAAAGGGGATGGGATAGGGAGTTAGTGGGAGGCAGGGGAGAAAGGGAGGCAGAGGGAACTGGGATTGACATGTGAAACAATATTGTTTCTAATTTAATTTAAAAGGCACAATGAGACATGCAGATGATGTGACTGGGACTTGAGTGTTTTCATGCATTCACAGAAGCGCTGCTGCAGTGTGAGCAGGTGGGCATATCGCTCACATAAAACAAGCTGGTATAAGTGTAAGCAGGTGGTCATACAAGCTGGTATAAGCAAGCTATGGACCCGTGAAGGACCAGAGGACCTCCCAAACCTGTAACAGAGTGGTCAAACTGTGAATGTAGTCACAGTAGATGGACTCCTGTGTGGTTGTTAGGTAACCACGAACAAATGCAAGTCTATATGAGTTATTCTTAAGATAAGGTAGGGATTTGTGATCCTACAAACACTTCTAAGGAAGTATCATGGTCCAAATTCAGGTGGGGCTTCTACCTGACATAGGTGAAGAAAAAAGGCCTCCTATAATAATGTGTTCTCACAGCTTTATCTACAAATATAACCCAGATGCCTCCTGAGCAGTGTTCTCAATGATGGTCTTTTATTTGCATCTACGTTTCTTCACCTGCCTCTAATACCCACCATTTCACTTATTTACTTGTATTCTATACATCATTCATATATTCATCCCAAACAAAGTAGATCTCAAACAACTCAGTCTAAACTGTATTAATCATATTTCCTTCTCAAGCCACAAAAAATAATTTGGCTTCCGCTCTGAGTTGTTAGAGATATGTCTGCATTTTGCTACTCCTTTCCTGTGACTTGTTAGTATGGAATTTTACCCTTCAGTATTATCACACACACACACACTCTCTCTCTCTCTCTCTCTCTCTCTCTCTCTCTCTCTCTCTCATCAAAACAAAACCTTTTCACATTGTGTGAGTTCATCCAATGTTGCTGAGGAAGCCTGGGATCCAACTACTGTGATGAAGCCATTTCTTTCAGTCAAAACCATTCGCTACTGCAAATAATGTCACACAAATGAATTTAGAAGGCAGAGTGGATATATAGTTTGGAATTGTGTATTTTCTCAATTTGTGAGATGAGATGAAAATCTAAAATTCACATGCAATCATATTTTAAGTTTGAAAATAAAAGGGGAACCTAAGGTTTACTGTTCACTGTAGTTCTCCTTACCTGCAGATGTAGTTACCTTTCAGATCAACAATTCTTAAAATGCATTCTTAAATTTCTTGGGCAAATCAGGGTTCAATTATCCCAACATATAGAATGTCAAGGATTTTGACTTATAATGAAAAAAATAGAACATCAGATTCATTTTCAGATTTTCAGTCAAGGGGATGGTTTGTATATTAGGAGTTTTCATGTGTCTGAGATAAGTGCAAATCCAGCACAAAGTTTTATCTTTTTACTAATATCCTAATTCTCTACTTTCAGCTGAAAAAATGATTTACTTTCCTAATAAATCAATCATATATCCATTTTGTCATTTTAATCCAAATAAAACATAGAACCAGTTATTTATTGTTATTCCAACTTAAACATTGCCTTAACTGAACAAAAATCACATGTTCTTCAGGCAATCAATATATCTCTCCAAATGAAGCAAGAGCATTGCAGAGGCTGCTATAGGAGTACAGTGGGGAGGAGGCTCACTGTAACTATCCAAGATAGGGAAGATTACGGATTAGATAGCGCATTCAACTTTTACTTGTCAATCTAACACAGTGCCTTAACATTAAACAAAGGAAGTCTTTAATAGATCAACACATTCAGTCTCAAATTTTCTGTTATAAGAATTCTATAGAAAAATAAAATTACTGTATATATGGACACAATATTGAACATATTACAATATTGAATTTTGTAAATGTTGAACATATACAAAAAAGTACCTTCAATAATTAGAAATTATTCTGTAGCATACTGAAATCACAACAGTTTCGATATATAATTGATTGACCATAGCTTTTGCAATACCATAGTCACTACATAATGGAATGCAAGCCGATGGTTTTTATCCGGAAAGCCTCCAAAATGCCATAAATGGTTAAGATAAATGTTTAATGGGCTGCCTTTAAAAGGAAGCTCTCCATGGGAAGAGGGGGAAGGGAGCTATGAGAATGAGAAGGGAAGAAGAGGAAGGATGCAGAGGTCATGAGGGAGCAGAAAGGTTGAGTCAGGTGTGGGTTAGAAGAAAGGATTTGTGATAGGTAGGGTTTTAGTTGGGGGGTGGTAGGGGAGGAAGGGAGGGAGAAGGGAACTGGGATTGTCATGTAATTCAATCTTGTTTGTAATTCAAATAAAAAAAGAAAAGAAAAGAAATGTGAAAAAAGGAAGCTGTCCACCCTTCTCTTCTTTCCATTCTTTCTGTGAAAGTAGATTTAGAACTTCTAAATAAATTTTAAAGGCAGGGTGAGCAGAACATTTAGCCTGAAAATTGCAGATACAGCTTCCAGCAGTCCTGTACTTTAAAACCAAAGCAAAATAAAAGCCTTAATGTCCACACTGCATGCTTCCTCCCATGTAATGTCCCTCACATTCACTCTGCCCTGCTCTACTTTGTCTTCCACCGTTTCATTAATGAGCATTTTCTAGCTTACCAACAGTTTCACAAGGCCAAGCAGAGAAAATCTTCCTTTTGTTTACATGACTCAGCTACCTAGCCATATTTATCAAAGTTATTCAGCTTCTTTACTTTATATCACACAGATTAATCTAATTACTCATTATTTTATTATTTTGTAATGCAGAGGATCAAACACAGAGTTTCCCACTTGCCCCAAAATTTCTCTACCACTGAGATTGACACATAGATTTTCTAGTACTCTTTGAAGCCGACTTCAATATCTATGTTTGCCAAAAGTCAGCTCTATGTCTTACTCTGTATTCTCATCTATCTCTGACATAATCACATCTTTACTCCTCCATCTTTTTAGTAGCATATACATTTCATGCATGTAGCAAAATTTGATCCATAAAGGAACTTCATTCTTTACAGTAGTGATTAGAATAAACCAACCTTGCATGTAACGAGTTCCATTTTTCTGGCATATTTGAATGTATATGCCAGACATGACTCTTCTCTGATGCCAGGCTTATAGATGAATGAATACACTTCTTTATTCAACCTTTAAATGTTTCATCCTTAGACCTTATGCATATAAAGTGTTAACTCCTGATTGATATCAACCAGGTTTCTTCTGACTTCATCTCTCTCAGAGTTGCACCACTGTCCTAACAGTAATATCTATAAAACAACTCTTTGTGTAACCACATATCTGATGCATCAGAAAAAGTGTTCTTAACCTGTAGGTAGCAAACCCTTTGGGCGGTCTCAGATATCCTGAATATCAGATTTTGCATTATAATCCCTAACAGTAGCAAAATTACATTTATGAGGTAGCAATGAAATAATTTTATGGTTGGGGGTCACCACAACCTGAAGAACTATAATAAAGTGTCACAGTACTAAGAAGGTTGCAAGCCACTGCATCAGAAAATGCTTTCAATTGGTTTTTCAAATGAAACTTAGCTTTATCTGTGGATGTTCATTCTCACTGTTGTTATTCCAGCAGAGGCCAGTAGTAACTTCTGTCTCCATCACTGAAGAATTTCTTCCCTTTGTCAAAACAAAAACCAGGTGATAAAGAATCAATTATACTAGACAAAAATGAAAGCCCCAGAAGTATTCTGCATGAAAATGTAAAGCATACTTAAAGGATTTATGCCATTCTGTCTTTGTTTCTCTAGCTTAATCTTCCAATTCCTTAGTCAATCATAATACTGCCAATCTGTTTCCAAAACAATAATTTTAAAAACTTTCCATCACATTGTTTTGCTACTACATTTAAATTTTCTTGTATTTTTATTGCAGATTAGATAATATTTTTCCAAAAACAGAAAAAGATGATCAATATTTGGTTTGTGAGTTACTTTCATTCTTTGTTTTACTATACACTAAGTCATAGGCACAATAGTGTTTCTGGATCTCTTGAATGTCTGTTTTCTCTGTAACACAGACACGCACATACACATACACACACACACACACATGCACACGCACATACACACACACACACACACACACACACATACACATGCAGAGAGTGTGCATACAGATACTTTTTCTGGATTTTATTATTTTGAACATTCATGTATTACTCTTACTCAAAGAACTATTTCTTAGTGACAAAACTTAAACCTGTCTGTTTGTCAGTCCCTCATCTCTGTTCAGTTGACATGATAGTGTCTCAGGTTAAAACATGTTTGTAATAATTCATTTTATTTCCTTATATTTTTGCATCTGTTCCCTACTAACTCATACAATTGTGGGGAAAACCATATTGTTTATTTGTGCTGCTGGGTACCTGGCACAAACTTACAAAAGTGATAGAGGTTTTCAGAAGAAACCTTAGTATTTTCATTTAAGCACTGTAGGTGTATGTATGATATTAATTCACATGAAGTTAATGGTTTTTAAGCATCTCTATTCTAAAAAAATAGCATCAATACCAAGCCTATATTCACCTTTTAAAATTTATTTTTATCACATTTAATTATGTGTATATGTATGTGTATGAGTGGTCATGTGACAGGGACGATGTGCATGTGAAAGCAGAGATGTTAGATTCCACTGAAGTTGGAGTACTAGGTAGTCAGGAGCCACCAAACTCAGATGTTGAAAACTCAACTCATGTCCTTCACAAAGACAAAACACACTCTTAACCATAAGTGATATCTCCAATCACCACACATGAGCAATTTAAAGAAACTGATCTATCAATATTTATTTCCATAACTCTGAAAATTAAACACAGAAGCACAGAGAGTGACCATATTAAAAATGGTGCTTGAATCATCAGCGAGGTTTCCTCAGGCAGCAGAAAGGAGCAGATGCAGAGATCCCAGCCAGACATTATACTAAGGGAGAGCCTAAATTGGAAGTCTCCTTGAAGCTTTGGGAACTCTGGGGAAGAAATGGAGGAATGATTGTAGGTGTCAGAGGCATAGAGGACACCAGAAGAACATGGCCCACTTAATGAGCTAAAAGCAGAGCTCACAAAGACTGAAAGGACAAGCATGGACCCTGAATGGGTCTGCACTAGGTCATCTGCATACATGTTATGGCTATTAATTTGGTGTCTTTGTGGAATTCCTAACTATGGGAGCAGATATGACTCTGACTCTTGCCAGAACTTTGGTACTCTTTTCCTCCTGTTTGATTGCCGTGTTTAGCTTTGGTGTGAGGGATTTTGTCCTGTCATGTTGAATTTGTTTTGTCATGTTTGGCCGTTTATCTCTTGGATGCAGCTCTTTTCAGATTGGAAATGAAAAGGAAGTGGATGGGGGTAGAGGAGGTGGTACGGATACTGGGAGGCATGGAGGGAAAGGAAACTGGTTGGGATGTGTTGTTTGAGAGAAGAATTGATTTCAATAATAAAAGAGAAGAATGGTGCTCAGATTGCTTGGACATAGATTATGAATGTGATTATAATAGTCTGTATCAACAAATGTTAGGAACTCAGCAAACATCTTTGCATCAATTAATCACAAGTAAGCAGCTGAATAAATTTTTCATGTATTTTTTTTTAATTTTCCTGTTGTTTCTCCTGCTCAGAAACTATCTAGCTTCCAAATTGCAAGAGCTTCATTCCCAGTTCTCTGGGCACTGTAGTGATTTTCTATTTTGGATGTGACAAAATTCTTGTTTCACCATGAAGATGTTTTCAGTGGGCCCAATGCCATAATTGGGTCATTTAAGTTCAAGGATAAACAGCTAAAGCAAAATCCACACATGGAATTATGGGAAAATGCTATTTTGAGCAAGCCTGTTCTGATTACCTCAATGTCTAGGTCCCTTGTCTCTCCCTCAGACACCATCACTTACACTGAAAAGCAAGCAAGGTAAAGTAGGAGACTCTAGCTATAAAGAACAAATGACAAATATAAGTATCATGAGTGAGATTACTAATCTTAAAAATATTTTAAAATAATGAAGGCAATGTTCATTTTTATACAACGGATTTTGTAGTATGCAGGAAACAATTTTATGGAAGGCAGAAATGTAAAATCCAAAACCTGTTTCACCATATCTTTTCACAAAAAACATTCTCTGTTGGCTTTAGTGCTACTTTTACACAAGTATTTAAGGAATAAATTTAATACAATCTCTATTATTGATAATGAAGAGATGTTTCCTAAGTTATCTGCCCAGCAATATTCTCATTTTCAAATGCTTTAAGACTTTAATGTCTGTGAGATGATTCAGCAGGTAAAGTATGATGCTTAGTAATAAGTCTTGTCATCTGTGTTTGCTCACCTGAGCCTTCATGGTGGGAGGGTAGAGATAAACAAATGCTAAATACTAACAATATTCAGAACCCGGAACTCATTTGATGAAGCCCTCAGTATTCTGTCTATGAAACTCAACTGATTGAAATATTAACCTGACTCCAAAATGAAAAGATAAGGATACATTACTATATTTGTAAACAGATTTAAATATTATTGACTATTGTTTTTCCAGACCCAATAATATATTTGAAACAATTACTGGAATTGACAAAGGTTGCATATACAAATGTTAGAATTTTAGATGAAAATGCAAATCAATTGTTTAAGACTTAGGGGTCTTTTGGATGTTATAAAACCTGCAAAACTATTGCAATAACTCCCAGTAAACAATATTTTATATATTTTTTAAAAAGTTTCCTGTCAAAAACCACTTGATTTCACACTAAACTGAAATCATAATATCACAGATTTATACTAACAAACAGAACCTTACAAACAATTAAATTATTTTTAAGAAATTTGTTTAGAAGATCACAACTATTCACAGTCTTAAGTAGAATGTTCATAAGTGGATGTATCGTGTGTTTCAAATGGCATAAATTATTTTAAAAGATGGATTTAAATGGCAAGGAAACTAGCCAAAGACTTGGATGATGAGGGAGCCTTACAACTCAGGGTAACATTTTGTAGACATCTTTGCTAACATAGTATCAATCAAATACCTAGATAATCATGGCTATGAGGACCTTTCATGTCTTGAAACTCAAGCTTAATTACTTCTCTGGGGCTTGTTTATTTCATCATCTCCAGGGTTTGGAATTTGACCTGTGAAGTCTGAGTGTCCATTGAATTTATTATTACACCTTCTTACTAATCAGGTATGTATAGCTTCTTGAGCAGACACTTAAACCCTAGTCAAAAATACCTGTTTAAAAAATCTCCCCTTAAGGAGACTCCTTATAGAAGTAGGTAGCACATCAGTCTCATAAAAATCTTGCCCTCAGATACGCTCTTAGCCTAGATACACAGGGTAGGGTCTAGGCCCTGCCCCAAATGATGTGACAGACTTTGATGATCCCTCATGGAAGACCTCACCCTCCCTGGGGAGTGGATTGGGGATGGAGTGGGGAGTTGGAGGGGGCCATGGGATGATGGGAAGAAGAGAGGCCTTGGATAGATATGCAAAATAAGATTGTTTCTAATTTAAATAAAATTCATTAAAAAAAGAGAAAAATCTCCCACTCATTCATTAGGGAAAACATTTTCCAAATATCTGTGTTGGTGAAACAAGTAAATTAATAATTTTACCCATTCTATTAATAATGAACCATGTCCTCTTTTGCTCTCAGGATTTACTGTCCTGATCGTAAATACACCAGCCAGTTTTCACCCAGATGAAGGAAAAGTGGCAAAGGAAAGAGCCTGAGAATTTCTATTGCATAGATGCTGGTTGTTCGGAAGTGCCTGGGGTCAACAGAATCCACTGGCCTGAGACAAGTAAAGATGGAGTGTTTTAATTTGCAGAAAACCATTACATTGTTCATAGAACAAAGCAAAAGCATCACCAAGAGTGGAAAGTTCTGCAGGCCACAGACCAAGCTTCTCTTCAGAACACAAGCGGCCACCGAATCAATGTGTGACTTCAGGTTACACATCTATCTTCCTAATCAGGCAGGCAGTTTCACTATGAAAGGCAGCAACTTAAACATAATCATGGATGGTGTATTTTATCTGTAGGCAGATACTCTCATCAAATATCTAAATATCTACTTCTGATGTGGCCATGCTCTTCAGGTAATATCAAGGACCAAGAGTGCTTTCCACACTTTGGCTTCCCAAGTCACAGTACTGGACTGTTAACTCAAAACTTCAACATCTTTAAAAGCTTATCTCTGAGGATAATTAACATTCATGATGCAAAATGTGTAATTATGGTAGCATGAACCCATTTGGAATAAGACTTTGCTATTTGCTATTTTATTTTTAATGACAAGCTAGAACGCTCTCAAATTGAATTTTTCCCAGAATATTTAAGCAACTCTACACTGATCTTGAATCTTCACTTACAGTGTAGTAGCATCAATTTAACTTTCCCAGAAAATTATATAAACTATAGCACACCACAGATGATAATGAGCTTCTAGAGCCTTCCCCAAAACCTGATGAGCTTAAATCAGACTTCACTGTCCCTAACCTACATCCCAACAATCTACTGGACATGAGAAAGTTTGTTTAATGACAAAGACACAGGGTTATGAGATACTCAAAACATTATAATGGAGACACATAGCACACAGCTTTTAAGAAATCTTGGATGGTGAGGATTGCTGTCATGGTATATCCATCCTCCGTAGAATTAGCTACAATTATCCATTTCATGACTACTACATCTAGTTAGGAAAACATAGTGACCCAATTCCCAGTTCAACAATTTTCGCTTGTTGAAAAATTAAGACTTTTATCAAATGAATTTCTTTATAAAAATAGTGTTAATCCTCCTTGTAGCACTGAAAAAGGAAATTTAACTTTTCATTGTTTGAATATTAAATTTTAAGTCATTTTCAAAAGCTCAAATAATTACTTATTTTCTAACAGGGATCAAATCTAATTTAACTATCTTCCAAAGGTTTTACAATGAAAAGAGAATGTTTCCCATAGCATCCTTGTTCTGTATTTACATATCAGAATATTCTGCAGGGTTAGTCCAGTTTTATCTTTGTTATTTAAAGCAGTGAATCAATTCTGATATTCTCTAACACCTTCTGAGATCCTTTTCAATTACTTCCCTGCTAACATGCCATGATCCCTACCATACTTCACAGTCCTAATTTCCAAGAAAAGGGGGCATGCAGTAAATCACAGGGAGGGAGCAAAACATCAAAGTGTGCCAATTCATGGTTCTGATTTTATACCCCAATTTCCTGGCTGAATTTACAGAGTGGCCCATAGTCAACCACTTTCATCTCATATATCCCTGCAAACTACTCCCTCTCCACCTAGTGAAATTCTCTTATTCTTGCACATGCAGATCACAGGTAGCTCCATCTATGAACCTTCTCAAGCTGTACTGTTCCAGAATAATAGGTTTCCTCAATGTCATAAGCATCCATTGTTTGTAAGCACATCTAGAATTCTGTATCTCTATGACAATTATCCATGCAAACAATAATTATGTCACATTTTAAGACAATGATGCATGTTACAGCTACCACTGCCATTCTTTCCAAAAATATAGCAATCCTAGAAACACAAGCTTTCCTTCCAGGCCAAATGAATAATAAAAAAGTTAATGCATATTTTCACCCTATCTTTTTCCATTCTTATTATTTTCTTGAAATAGTCATTGCCAGTTACTCTTTACTTATATTATCAGTATCAGTCTCTAAATTCAGTTCTTCTCAACAGCTGTAAATATTTCCCATAGTCAAAGAAGAAATTGAGAACATTTACATTTTTCTCACTGTCTCCTGCCAAAATATTGACTATTTGTCAGTTTTGGATTATGTTACATTGGTTGAATAATCTTCCCACCAGGAGCTATTTCTCTGTGTTTTATAGTATAGATAGTGCACTGCAGGCATGGTGGATTATGACTATTATCATAACAAAAAGAGTGCAGTCTCATATTCTTACAGAAAATTGAGAAGCAGTGGAAACTCATGTCTGGCCAAGATCAAACTGGGAGCCATTTTTCTAGGTATTCAATCAATCAGAATCACATGGATGGGTATTAAAAATATTTGTCTAATAGATCATGTCCTCTAATATAATAGCATAGGACTTTAGTATTATCATATCCAGAGGAAAGGAAGATTCATGATGCAATACTAATAAAAAGAAAACTATTCAAAAATACACACAGCAGGGACTGAAACTGGATGAACTGGGAGGAAACAAGAAACAAGCCAAATCATATATAAGAGGATTGCCTCCGGTTAAGAGGGATGTCTTTAAGGATTTTATTTCTTACACAGCTCTTTATTGTGTAAATTTTTCTTCAGTAATCACTGTTTGCTATAGTACGGAAAAAATGTGAAAATGGAACAAATAAAAGCCATGTCATGGGTATAATGGAACTTACTTCCTTCTTCCCTGTTTCTCCGTCCCTCCTTTGGTCTTTTTCCATAGTACTGGTGATTGAACCTAGGGTCTCGAGCTCACTAAGTAAGTGATCCATCACTAAGCTGTATCTCTATCTCAGGTAAAGAGCCATAGATACTAGGACATGCACATAAGGGGGTTTCTAGTGCTTCCCTAGGACTAGCTCAGTACTAGAAAATCTCTGCTACCTCACACATCATCAATACCATCATACTAAGGTAGCTCATAAAGATGATTGTAAGATGAGTTCACTAAGTGTTTTACATTCTATAAAAGGGCTTGATGCTTTGACTTCCTTGCCCTCAACCAGGTAAGAAAAATAAACTAAAAACCATGCTGAAAACAACAGATCACAGAGAACACAGGTGGTGGCAAGGAGGTGAGAACAGTGCCTTGGGTTCAGCTGGATTTATATCTCCATGTGATTTGCTTCTTTCCCATGTAAACAGGAACAAGTGAAACTCAGAAGACAGGAAAGGAAAACGAGTTTCTACTGATTTGCCAAAATCTATCTCTTTGACAAGGTGTGTGTGTGTGTGAGAGAGAGAGAGAGAGAGAGAGAGAGAGAGAGAGAGAGAGAGAGAGAGAGAGAGAGAGAAACTTTGAAAATGGTTAAGGAATAAGAAAAGTCATATACTAGACCAGATTAGATTCGGAATTTATGTGTTACCAATTTCCAGATAAAAGCATGTTTTCTCATAATCCCAACAGATGACAGTAATTTCAAAGCCACAGGAAAACCTAACTGAGCTTTTGAGTAGCCCATTGAAGTCTGTACATTATGAGTTGTTGGCTGATTCAGGATTTAAGTTCCCTTTTTGAATCTTCATTGAAATGTTTCTGAGATATTCTGGGAATATTACAATGTAGAAAATAACCACCCTTCCATCTTCAAGTGCTAAATGTAATTAATGAGCATCCTCACAAAATTGTCTCAAAGTTCAAACTAGTACTTTCCTGTAATTCAAATGCATTATAAAAGGTAGGGAGAAGAGATAAATCTAACAAATGGTAGATAGACTTAAAAGAATTTCTTCTCAGCAGGGTGGTGGTGGCACACTCCTTTAATCCCAGAACTGGGGTGGGTGGCAGAGACAGGTAGATCTCTGAGTTTCAGGCCAACCTGGTCAATAAGCTACACAGAGAAACCCTGTCTCAAAAAATGAAAAGAAAAGAACTTCTCTTACCCAAGGAGACAATCCTCTACTGCAGAACATTAAGATGCAAGAAATGAGATACTTTTAAGATATACTTACTAAAGCCTAAGTCATTCTAAAGAGTATATTCCTTAAATATTGAAAAATAGTATTAAATTTGAGAAAGAAAGCCTCTTTGAGATGAGTTATAAGTAAAGCTAGATTTAGTAATATTCTATATCCAGTCCACAATTCTTCCCCTGTTCCCTCTATTATCTCTCTCAAATTCATGACCATATTTCCCTTTCATTGTTATAGTTATGTATAACATATACCTAAATATATACATATAATCTGTATCTGATTATGCTTATGATATGAATATAATTACAGGTCTGACTATTTGGTAATGGAAATTCAGTTAGGCAGTTCATCTCTAGAAAAGACTAATTTGCTCTCTCTCAGCCATCTTTTGTTACCTGCAGTTTTTTATGATGGGTGGGTGCCCATGAGTACAGGATAGCCCTTTCAGCCTGAGGTAGAGGTAAGAACTAGTGGCTGGCTGATTTGCTTTTCTCATTTTCAGCTTGAACCCTATATCTGTCTTTGGGTTTTCATTATTCTTGTTACAAGCCCCTTCATGTCAGCTCTGGATTTCTAGAGACTTTATGCTGTATGTTTCTGGACCAACGATTCTAAGCTAGATGAAAATATCGTTAGCTCATTCCAATCAGTGCCTCATTTGGGTGTGGTTAAACTTGCTCAATATGGGGTGTATAAATAAGTTCTTCCCAGATTTTATAGGAGACTATGCAATGTGTGAGAAAGAGAATTGTACAAAACTAATCAACAAGTACATTAGGATTGATAAAGCTCGATGCAACCTCAAGGAACCAAGGAAAAGAGCACATTTGTAATATGAAATATATTTTCTCCTTCTTATCTCATCTGTCATGGTTAATAAAGAGAGTGTGCTTAAAGATGCCTGATGAAGTTTATAATTTAATGAGCACAAACCAATCTGGCTTAGAAATGACTTCCCAAAATTGTGTTCCTCTAAAGCAGCTGTGCCATTATGATAACTTAAGTCAGATCCAGGAGAGATGAGCTTTCTGGCTTTGACAAGCCTCTCCCAAGTGAATCAACCCTTTTTGTTACTCTGCTTTCACTTATAACTGTGTAAGTACAACAATAGACATTCCAAAGTCAAAAATTACTCCTATACATAATGAGCACATGAGGTCACACCCAAGTAACTGCACAAGATTCCTTTTCCACTTCAAATTTTTATTGTGTCTCAGAAGCTAGTGATGAAGTCAACACAAGATGTGCAGAACATTATGTGGCTGGAGTTTTATCCTCTTCAGCCTGACATAATTCCATGGGAACCGAATTGCACCCAACTGTGACTAATGAAGTGGCACTAGCTCACTCAATCTGTCACAGTTTCTGACAGATGACAGTCAGTTTTACTCTATCATTGGCAAAATGTAGCAGAGTCAAATATAACTGATAGTAAATCCCCTCTTGGTGTCCTTTTCAGTCTCCTTTTCCCTCAACAGTCAGGCACTTTCAACCATACACAAATACATAAACACCAGAATTAACTCTTTCTGAGATAGACACATTGCTTAATATATTTCATGAAGTATATATTAACTAGAAAATATATTTTTCTGTTGCTTACTAAGTACGTCTATGTCCCTCACTACACAGGAATCTTTGCCCTCTTATTTTCTTATCTTGGCATATCTATAATGAGCACAATTTCTATATTACCTTATTGTTGTTTTAAAATAAGCTATTTTAGATTAAAACTAAATTATACCTATATAGTAAATTCCCTATTAATACAGTTACTTACATTATCTTTTTCTGCAAAGAAAAATAAATGTATTACTATTTACTGCCTCTACCACAAACAAATAAAATGAAATAAGCTTTTAAATCATTGCGTGAAATAAGAACAATTCTGCCTTGTTTGGGTTTTCCATAATCCATGCTCTACCAAGGAAAGTGCTTTTTAAATGCCTAATCAACTCATAAGTTCTATTAAAGAGTTCTTATTGGCTACCCTCTCCATGGCAGAACAATCATTTCCATAAGTGCACTCTATTAGCCACCTTTGTGTAACCCCTCATTACCCTACTCTATTTGTCTGAGTGGGTCCAAAAGATATAGCTATACAGCTTCAGGGGACACATGCAACCTTTTCTTGCCCTCTCTAGGTACCTCAATGGCTGAAGTAACAGAAATGACACCAACATTGTCAGAATCCCATTCTAAATTGTAAAATACCCACAAGTAACACACCCACCAGAAGTGATACTATTCAGAAGCCACATTCAAAAGGAAACTCTGCTTAGAAATTATAAATACACTAAATTCATGTAAAAATGTTTGGCAGATTGTAACATATTTGAATATCTTATGCAATTACATATTAAAATAAGTGTGTGCTTGTTTGTGCATATTCCAGATATCAATATATAATTCCTTCATTTTGCACATAGCTGTTCCCTGGTTACATGAAACTGTAGCTCAAATATTATATAGAAAATTCTTATTTTTGAGGGGAAAATGTTTATTTCACTTGCTCTTCCAGGTAATAATTTGTCACTGACAGAAGTCAAGGCAGGAATTCAAGGCAGAGTAGGAACCTGGAGAGAGGAACTGAATCAGAAGTTGTGGACAAACATTGCTTAGAAAATTATTTTTAAGATCGCATTCATCTCCTCCTGGCATTGGTGGTGCACACCTTTAATCCTAGCACTTGGGAGGCAGAGGCAGTTGGATCTCTGTGATTTGGAGTCCAGCCTGGTCTGTAAAAGCTAGTTCCAGAATAGGCTCCAAAGCATTACAGAGAAACCTTGTCTCTAAAAAACAAAAGAAAACAAAACAAAAAACCAACAAAAACAAAACAAAAAAAAGAGATAACATTCATCTCAAATACTCAGTGTCACTATTTTGTGACTCTTTCCGGCTTACTAAGGCTTGACCACCAAATTTAGTAATTGATTTACTTTGGTTGTCTGTCTGAGGTTCCTAGCAGTAAATATGTGACCCATTCATATATACCCCCTGGAAAATGCTTAATGAAACATGGTTCCACATTGGGGAGGCATCAGTAAAGTCAAAAGGTGAAGGCGATCTCATGAATGTCTGATTTCAATTGCAAAGATTCAGGAGATGACTTGGTTTATCATTTTGCTGCTGACCTTTGAATCATTAGCAGGTTTTTAAACCAAAAGTTATGTATTTCCCTTCATACTAGGTGAACCTCACAAATTACTGAGCCATTGTTTTCAACAGGAGGTTGAAATATCTCAAGGAATCCTGTTTCAAATGACTCTCAGACTCATGACTGAAGACTGGAATATCTCTTTCTGGGTCTCTAGAATGAATCCTCTCTTCCTCCTCCTCCTCCTCCTCCTCCTCCTCCTCCTCCTCCTCCTCCTCCTCCTTCTCCTTCTCTTCCTTCTTCTTTTTCCTTTTCTTCTTCTTCCTCATACTCCTCCCCCATCCTCCCCCCCTCCTCCTTCTTAAATTCAGTCTTCTCAAGTCTATTAAAAGCTAAAGGGCAAGACAATGTTTTACTACAACTCACAATTGGCACTATTGAGAAACAAAGTCAAAGTAGAGAGGTCAGAACATATTCAGAAGGCACAATAGCAGATTCATATATAATTTTCTAAAATATGAAGTTCTAAAAAGAGCTGCTAGCATGTGAAATTCATAGTGATATGTACATTGGTGCGTTCTTATGTAATGTTATGGCTTGGATCTGAAATTTCTAT